AGGTAACGGGAGAGTTGTCTCTTCCATCGGCAGCTGCTGTGCTCTGTTCTAAGGAGAATGGCTCGTGTGAGTGAAACTCTCCTTTTCCCTGTAGAGACCGCTTGCCCCAGAGCCAGGGGTGGGAAAGGCTGGTGCTCCCTGGCACGGCGCCTGTCCCGACCGAGCGCTTCTCTCTTGGCGGCTGTGATGGGCAGTTGCAGGTTGGTGTGTTGTGTGGCCAGCTGAGTGTGGTCTCTGGCCTCAGTTCTGTTACAGTCTCAGGGGATTGGACCTGTCTTGGTTTGTCTTTCTAGAGCCAGAACTGAGAAAATCTTAACATTTTCCGGTTTGTCTGTTTAGAGACGGGAAGTTTTTTGAAATGTTGGCTGAGGGCTTGTGCGAGACATTAACCCTAATGAAGCCAAGTAGCTGGCGGCATTTTGTTAGCGAGTTGTGCCACTCCAGGGGAAGAAGTCGGTGTCAGAGAAGTCACTGATAATTCTACTTGTCTCTTGTACTGTCTGGATCGTTGGCTTTTCTGGCTGCTCGCTTCATGCTAATCGGCTTTTCCGTGTCTCTGCTCTGCTTCTCCCGCGTTGTGTCTTTGAGCATCATCTTCTCCCGCTATGGAACGGGATTTTGTCTTCAGCCCAACACGTTGTAGTGTGTCGGGGGTGAACGCACACATGCACGCACACTCATCCCGTTCCCCTTTCGTTTGGCGCCGAGACACAGAATCTGCAAAAGCTGAGGGACCGCTGCGGGGACAAGCACTGGACCCGGCTGCTCTGCTCACTTGCCAAGTCCTAACCGGGAGGAGAGGCTCAGGGGGAGAGAGAGCAACGTCTCACGAGCATCCATTGGCTTCCTCGGAGCCTGCAAGCCTGGGGACTCTCAGTTGTCTTCACTGAATCCAGTTCAAAAGCAACTTGGCAAATTATTTTATACACAGACTGTATTCAGGGCCTGGGTGATGGCTCCATCGGTTGACTACTGAGTAAAGTTCTCTGGTGTTTTTTGTGTCCAGTATCAATTTATTCTGTTAAGAAGTCTTTTTGACAGAAAAAGCCCAAATTGTTCTGGGAAGAGATGTTCTGTTACTGCATCCTTACCAACAGATCCCAGTTACTAGGCTTCAGTGGCTGTAATGGGAAGGAGGAGACTTGGCCCCGAGCAGTTAAGGATCAAAAGCTTCACCTGCCTTGGCTTTAAAGCTTTAGCAGTAAATGAGCGGGCGAAAAGGAGCCAGTTCAGCCTGACAGCCCTTCCTGTGGTCTTTACCAGAGCTTGATGTACTTGTGTTAGACGGCAACAGTTTGAGAGAATTTCCCTGCAGGTCAAGGTGGGCAGTTGTGAAAATGTTCGGGGCAAGGAAGTTGGTTTTATATGGCTTGACTGATGATACTAAACCCCTCTCTGACGTACGTTACTCTTCATTCTTCTCTCTTTTTTTCACTCAGCTAGATTGCTGAGCTATGGATACCAAAAAGGGGACTGGATTTGCATAGATAATAGCACAAACAGCCACTGTGATCTCATTCTGCACCTGCACATCAAAACCAACTCAAATGTGATTAAACCACTAAGTATTTTGTTTCTTTAATGCTGTGCAAAAACTAAGGAAACTTACCCATCCTGTTTCTTTAATGCTGTGCAAAAACTGAGGAAACTTTTATCCATCTGTCGTGGTGCTGCACACCAAGGTACTCCGCAGGTATTTTTCTCAGGAAAAGTGCAGTTGGAGTGACAGTCTTAAATCAAACAAAACCAACTTCTGCTTTGTCCCTTCAGCGAGGGCACCTTGACACATGTCCCTCCTGTTAATCCCCTGACAGCTTCCAAGAGGCTGATGCAAACAACTGTGCCAGGCTTTGATTATAAGATATTGCACTGCCACTTATTCTCTTTGTCTCCTGCAGTTTACAGAGGCAGCTTCAGTGCATAATTTAATCCCTGTTCTGGGGACTGTAGCAAATCCACAGAGGTTTCTACCAACCGTCCTCTCTGGCATCAGAACAACATGTGCACATCTTCTTTGATGTGAATTCCCCAACCGGAGCCTTAGAAGGACCTACAGCTTTGAAGCTGGCCTATAAATTGTGCTTTCAGGAATCAAGTTGTCAGGCTCCTCTTCAGGAAGAAAGGGAGAGTAAACTGTAAAGCAGTCTCATAAAGCTACAGGGCAACTTACAGATCTGCTTCTCTTGGCCTCGAAGAATTCCCGTACGACGTTGAGAAAGGAGCGGATCCCTTTTTACCTGGCTTAGAAGCATCCCCTTTGTGACCGCGGGACCTTGTGGGCAGTGGGGCTGTGATGGTGTTTGTCTTGAGGGGTTTCCTCTTCCAGGGCAAACGGAAGGGGCACAGGCACCACTGGTGCTTTCAACCTGGGCGTTTCCAGGCTTACAGAGCTGGTGCACCTGCATGACCTTTGTGCAGGCAAATTTGCAGCGTGGTTTAGCAACATGGGAACTCCTACCAGCTGTGGTGGTGGTTCTGTGAGATGGAACCTTCATCAGCTGTGTCCTGAGATGCAGGACGGGCAGACCTCTGCCTTTCTGTTGAGATGGAAATAAGCTGGGCTTTGAGTTGAGGGATTTCACTGGCCAAACCTTGTTTGAACAGGCAAATGCGGTTGCCCTTCTTGTGGTTCAGTGTCTGCTTATGTGTTGTGCTGTCACCCCTGGGAGCTCCTCCCCACCAACAAAGCAAGGAACTGACTGGAATCAACCAGGTCACCAACCTTGATTTTTCCCGTGTTCTCTGTCTCCGAGGAGAGCCGCAACCATTCCGCTACTCTCCACGCCACTGCTGCTGACGCCGCTACACCAAGCGGTGCTCGAACTGCCTCTGGAATGAAAACACTCACTGTGCAATCTACACGGAACTAAACCAGCCTCCTGAGTCAGGAGCAGCTTCTCGGGCCGCTCCATAGATGAATCTGCGCGTTCTTCGGACGTTTACAGATGTTACGCAGACGCGATTGTGTGGAACCTCCTGTTTTGAGCAGGTGAGTCTCGGGTGAGCGTCATCAATGAGTTGCACCAACCCACGTCAGATGGTGACAGTATGACACGTCATGCTTTCAGGGAATGGAAGTTGTGTTGCGTTGGGGTTTTTTTTTTCCTGGTCAGAGCTGTTACTGGGAGAGGTTAATTCCAGTTCACCTGTTTATCCTTGCGTGGTCTGTTATGTTGAACTGCCGGCTGAGTCTGCTGACGCTGCGGGAGGCTGGTATCGAGGGCAGAGCTGAGCAGTAGAGACGCTGATGGCGCTCATCGTGGCAGCCTGTCCTCCTGGCTCTGCGTGCTGGATCTGCTCTCCTAGGTCTCCGGGCTGGCTGCACTGCGGAGAGAAGCCCGCCGGTGAGGTTTTACCACACCCTGCCTTTGCGGCTGGTGGGAGAGCAGTGGGGCCTGGCAGGGTGTCTACAGCTGTGGACCCTGTCGCCTCCTGGGAGCGGGTCCCCGTGTAGGTGCGTGTGGACGGGCCCGTCCAGCGATCCGTGGGGATGCTGGGCAGCTGTGGCCAACGGGTCAGTGCAGATGCAGCCCTTGGCAGCCTACGCCTTGGTTTTCTCATTGCGCCGGAGGCAGAGAACAGCGAGCAGCCACACCGAAGTGGTTTTTCGTGCAAGTGTAGCTCAGTGTCTCTGAAGAAGCTGGTACCAGGCTATGAGGAAGGGTAACCAGCCGGTCTTTTTGGGAGGGCCACCACCTCTTCCTAGAGACAGAGCGGCTTTCGTGAACCACGGCGAGGTCTTTCTTCAGTGTACAAACCCCTTTAGTGTCTGGCTGCATGTTAGAAGCTTGCAGCGTCGGGGAAAAAAAAAACCCTCGTACATCTCGAATCACTGACCATTAGTGGCTGCTGTGACGTTGTGCTCAAACCGAATATTCAACTTGGAAAAATTGTACATTAAATTCAAATAATCAGAATCTACACTCAGTTTTTATTTACAATCATAGTACTTTTTATTTTTTTTCCATAACGTAACTTGCCAAGTCCTCCCCCAGTGACTGATGCTGCAATAAACCTGTACAGTGAGAGTGCACACTGCTGCTTCCCTGTGAGCCGAGGGGCTTGCACGTGCTGTTGGCACCTCACACGTCACTCCCAGACGTGGGATAACCCCCGCCAGCAGCTGGAGTATTTGTGGAAACACTGCTGTGGCGGAATGAGGCTGCACTAGCGGCACAGATCAGGTGTTCTGTTCTCCCAGCCAGGAAGGGCAGTCGATCTGTCCAATGTACTGAGCGGAAACGAAGTCAGAAGAGTTCTGGTATTAACTATTCGAATACAATGAACTATCAGTTGGCAGAGGAATGGATGTGCTTCACTCCTGCTGGAAGGAGTTATTGGAACTCCTGACTCTTCAAGCGTATCAACTTTACTTGAGAGGTATGTGAGAATCGACTCGGACCTCCCAGCGCTGTGTTGGGGGAGCAAAGGAAGAGGGGCCTGCGCCTGCAACTCAGGATTTTAAAAAGCTAAATGATTTGTATATCCTTTTCATTATCAAAGTATAGTTTCTCTTTCCAGGTAAACTGGTTTCTTTGGGAGGAGTTATTTTTAATAACAGCTCAGTGCTATAACCAGGAGCCAATAATTCAAAAATCACTCTTTTCTACAGAAAAGTATAAAGAACTACAGCTCATGCTAAAGCCAAAAAGCAGCACTCGGAGCCTTTACGCGGTGTTACGTGTTTCTAAGACACCATCTCCTCTGCGACTGCCGCAGGACTTCAGCTGGACAGTGATTAACGCTGTCACGCAAGTCCGTGACTTCTCTTAGCCCTGCCGACACTAGCATCTACACACAACCCGCTGTTTGAAGCTCTAGTACATCACAGAACAGTGCTGACATTGGTGTATCACAACTAACGCAACATCCAGTAATTCACATGTATCTTAATAGTGAAAAACTCAAGACTGGGGTGCTAACTAAAGAAACCACTACCAGGAAGGTTCCTTATCTGGCGTGGAATACAGGGAGGGGCAGCTTAGATAACACTGTCGAGATTGGGCAGGAACAGAAAGAATTTATTTCTCCATCCAGGATTTTATACACTTTACAAAAAACAGTAATATCACCGTGCCCATAAAAATGCTATCCATGGCAACGTAAAGCAAACACTACTTTTTGTCATCTAACGGGGTCTTTTTAAAATCATAATACAAAGATTTGTGCTGTAGCAGTCCTCCACTTTGCACTGTAACAATAAGGCTTACTGTACTTCAAATACAAAGCTGTTACATCTGCAGTTATGAACCACTGGCTTTAACAAACATCATTTTATAGTTGCTTTTTGCCTCTTTTTTGTTTTCTGGAACCTCGGCTTCCTCATGTTTTTCGGCAGCTTGCAGCTCCTCGGCAGACTCCTCTTGCTCCGACTCAGAGCCGCTCTCCGAGTCCTCTGAACTCTCTTCTGAGGAGTGTACAGCTATCTCGTCTTGTTCTTCACTTTCCTGAAACTAGAAGTTCAGATCATGAGACAGATAAACCATTCATTCCTGGCAACTCCACTGCGGCTTTTAAAATTTCCCAGTGAGAATGTTTTGCTTAATGGCTCCTTTAATCATTTGCACCTTAAAGAGCTGTTTAGCAGCGTAGCCCCTTTTAGCACTAAAATTAGACAGAAGGCAACTCCGCTGCAGTGGTTAATGGCACCAACCGTGACATCCGTGGTTTCCTCAGCCACGTTCCTGTTTCGTTAGAGCAGAAATCCTAAAGACACCATTAAACGAGCTGAGAAGTTGCAGATCACATCAGATTAGTAATTCCTTACTTCAGTGTACACAGGACATAATGACACTGGAGTATTGGAGTGAAACATAATGAAACTAACGGCTGGACCATCAAGAATTCACCTTCTCTGAAATCAAGTTTAGCGCACGGCAGCATGAGGGACGCCAAAGTAACCCAACAGTACTGCTAACAATAACAATGCCCGAGTGGTACTTTGTTCATGGCCCTAAAGGGCAATGCCTCCACAGCTGTAAATACTAAGAATTCCCAGCGCTGCACAGGTGGGTTTACTCCCTCTGGAAACAACAGCTAGGTTTTTATGCAGTAATTAGTGCTAAAAGTTAGCAAAAAAGAAATTCTTGCAGTTTTCACTTGGCAGATGAAGATATGTTCCTAATAACCAAATTCTCGGGGTTTTGTCACACTTCTCTTCCTGCTCATTCCTGTGGAATTCCTTGCAAGTGCAAGGCCAGCCAGGTGTCAGCTCACTGGAGGACTCCGGGCAGCAAATTCCCCTTGTTCGACCTCCCTGTAGCCACTTTCTTTTTGGGACCATAGAGAGGTTTGTGCCTCACCACAACCAGCAGCTAAATTAACTAGCTCTCGGCAACAATATAGGTGCTTACCCTGCCTTCTTAGGTATTCCCTGGCAACACCCTGGTTTAATGTATTTGTCACTTTCTTCCCTAATGAGTCTTGCTTACTTACACTGTATGTCACATCAGTTTTCAGAACAATGAGGAGCATCAATCATTTCCAGGCATCTAAATGGCCATCCCACTGCAGACAAGTAGGGGTCAAGTGGCCTGCAGTATGTTTGCCTCGAGTTGTGGTGATTGGATTTTTAAACTACCTATCATCTTCTCTTAGTGAAATGAAAGCCAGATCATTCTGAAAATAAACAAGTTACTACCTCACTGAAACCAAGTCCACAGTGGCGCCGGTTTCGTCCGGACATCGTGCTGTCCATGCTCTGTTGGTACTGAGACTCCAGCTCTTCATTCATTTTCTTGTCTTCTTCCCCTGCAGTGTCCAGTGTACTTTGGTTATGGTTCATTCAAATTAACAAAGACATCAAATTACATAAAGTCACATTTTCAAAGTTTTATCAATATATGTATGTAAAAGTCTAAATTTAGTCATCATAAACAACTGGATGGACAATTACTGCAGACAAACCATCACGTTTATAGGCAGCCTATCAAGCGTGCAAGCAGAACTGCTTTGATACAAAGATGGGTTGGTAAACTCCTAAGACCTGATACATTCAGAGAGCTGTACCATGCACGGTGTATGTTCTACTAAATGAGGTAAATGCCACCTGTATGACTTCTCTGTGCTTCCTGCCAGTACTGCAAGGTGTCACAGCTAGGAGAAAGTTTCTGATGTTCACTACGTAACATGTGGTTACTGTGACTGAACCGTGGTTAATGTATAGCAGCAGAACTCAGGACGATACTACCACTCGTTCACAGAGCTGTATCTGCAACTATTTCATGCATCCTGAATCATCAGGAGCAGCTACTACAGCTCCACGTTTTTTCATCTTTAGGAATTAGCAGAAAAACTATTTTACATGAGCTACTTCTACATGCCCTTAACTTACTTGTTTGAATAAGTAAATAAGGAATTATTTTTACTGGGGGAAAATATGGTCTGAAATAGTTAAGAAATCCCTGCTCTCGTAAAGGGTAGGAGTATCTAATTCTCCCCCGACAGACCTACAAGACTCGTTTAGAAGTTGTGTTGCAAATTAACGTTTCCTCGTTTGGAAGTCAGAGCTGTACATTGTTACAAAAAGAGAATAACTGTATGTTGGACAAGGATGTAAAGTGTTGAGAAAACAGCTGTTCGGATTTTTTTTGTGAAAAACACAGCATCTTAACCCTTTGCTGATAAAAAAGCACTACCGATTCTTTATGATTCCTTGGATGAAGCATCATCTCCTTCCTAGGAAATCCAGATTCTCCATCACTCTGCAAGCTAACAGCGGAACCTGGAACCAATCCTCAGGCTTCACTTGGTGTGTTGGTCCACAGATAATTTTTCATCAACTGAAAAATTACTAGTGGAGCCTATTAGGAAAAGAAGTTTTCTGGAACTCTGAGAGTTGCTATTCTATGCAGCTTGATCAAAGCTTCTCTCACAGTCAAGCCCAGCTCGGTTTCGATGTACTTTGACTTACTATCTAAGTAAGCATGATAAGAAGTTACCCTGGTCAAACAGGACATAACGTCAAATTATTGCGGATTGCCAGGATGACCTTGCAGGTCTTTTCAGCTTCTGCCTTTTCACTGCTTTCAGGCAGAGATGTTTCTGTTCAATAGGTAATCAATCAGGTGGAGGAGAAAATCAACCCTGTTCTTTTCCATGCACAACAGTTTGGAGGTTTGGATATCCACACCTGACAGCAAGGAGGAAGTGTAATACTGCTGGGTAGCAACAGCAATAACATTTTACTTTCTTATTCTGATAGCCAAAGCAGACTCTGGGCATATAGGCCCCGATTTTCAGGGCACACGTACACAAGTTTAACGGACCATCAAGTATTTTGCTGAACCTGACCTTCAGAAGGCAAGTGTAGTCACAGAAGTTGTTTGTCAATAATCAAATAAGAGAAATTAGGAACTTTTACGACTCCACTGCCCGACCTCTCTTCAACTTCAGCCACAAAACCTGAAATCCCTCCCTGCAATACCGACAAAGCTCAAAGTACTGGGATGTTCCTAAATAAGTGTTAGATTTCCAACTTTGTATCAGCTGTTGGATAAACTGACCTGTCCTGAAGTGAGAGGTTGATCTGTGGTCTCCGATAACAAGGCGGCCAGTATGTTCTTTCTAAAAGAAAAGGCAGTTTGTTTTGGAGCTTTAGGGTGCACTGACAGCTCTGCCAACATTCTGGAAATCTTGAACTGAAAAGGTTTGCTGTCAAACCTTGAAAACCAACTGTAGGACTTTACTTTTTGCTAGCTAATAACTGCTGCCTCTTGATGAACTTGTTTCATCCTTTCTTTTTGGTTGATACTTCTGAAAAAAGAAACCCCAACAACTAGCTACTCTTTACTCTTCCCACACCCCAAATCTGGTTGAATTTCATTCTGTTTCTTGCCACTAATAGGACAATTGCACTACACAACCCTGGACAAGAGTGAATTTAGGTTCTGACAATTTTCCCTTTGGGTCTCTTCCTCTGGCACCATGCAACAGTTCGGTCTGTGCATCTGAAGATGATCCCACTTTTAGACTCCTCCCAGTATGAGGTAAGACATTCACAGTGCTTATTAATTTACTTGGCTCTATAGTTGCTCATTAGCAAATGTATCCCTATAGGCAAGAACTGGCATTACACAGCAAGCAGCATGAAGTATCCAAGAATCCATAACATTAATGGTAGTGGGATGTTTTCATAGGGTATTGGATTCCTATCCACTAGAAAACATTAACTTTTACCTCTTTAATACTGTAAAATATTTTAGCCTACAGAAATACTGTATTCAAGCAAAATAAACTAGTAAAAGTGAAATTATTTTTCTTGAAGATAAACAGAATTACAATCCTAAAACAACATTTTGTATGTGGAAAAAGCATATTTTACTAGTTTTGCAGCACTTTTTGCAATAAGTGTAGCAGAAATATGATTTTAGAGCATTCTTTCTTTAAAAATATTTCCTGAATTATTCAGGTTTATAATTTTGCCGGTTTAGTCTATCTGCTACCATTATTTTTAACCTTAATTTTTCTTCCCCAATGAGAAAGAATTTTACAGGCCTAGCGCACAGGTTTGTTAGTTTGCAGTAAGGACTATCGCAGAAGCGTCCACAAACAGGTTTATGAGCTGGTGTGAAAGCATAAAGGTGTGGGGTGGAAGCTGCAGAGCTGAGGCTTGGCAATTTCAGACCGATGGTTTGCGATGCAGCGTCGC